AATAAATGAATAAAAACATAAAAATGAAAAAAGTAGGAAAAAAATAATTAAAAAAGACTAAAAAAATGCTATGGCTTCAATGCGCCACCATAGAGCTTGCCTTGGTAACTGATAGCTCAATCTTGATTCACGAATAGAAAAAAATATCATTGACGAATAGGAAGTTGATCCTTAATCAGCCATTACTATTCAGTCAATTAGTTTTACAATCTGTTATAATATCCCCAAATTTATCAAGAACTGATACAAGTATCTTATTTCCCGTGCCTTTAGTTCCATTCCATTTCATTTCATGACAGATTATAACATAGCCACGATATGACGCGCGCTCTGATTGGTTAATTAGCGTGCGCATCATTGTTTTTTTGATAAATAAATATTTTTTACGGTTTTGCTATGTTATAGAAGCAATGGTCAATGCTTAATTGTGCATATGTCCAGTTCTGAATGCACTTGGGAGGTTTTTTAAACACTCGAGAAGCTAGAGTTGCACTCGGCTACGCCTTGTGCAACTCTTCTGCTTCTTTCGTGCTTAGCAACGTAACCTCCCGCGTGCATCCAGAACTGGATATACGCACGCAAAGCATTGACTATTCCTTAACTAATCCTATTGGATTATTTCCTTGCTGGGGTGCATGCAAGTATTAACTGAGGCTTTTGCAAAGCAAGGAAATAACAACAACGAAGTTTTTCTTACGCCTTTTCGAAGCCGTTGTCCTAGCGGTGTCTACGTTTACGAACGACAAGGAATAATAATAAATCATCAGAATCGTAAGTGTTAACAGCGGTTTTGAAGGCACCAGCTGTGATGTCCCATATCGATAACAAGTTCATCATATAATATAAAGCCAAGGTTCGGACACCCGGAGAGAGGCAGAGGAAAGGAATGAGCGATAAGCGGAAAATGTTTGAGTGAACTTGACATTCTAGTTGATATGAGCTGAGAACAATGAGAAACAATGAGAAACAACTGCTACCTTTCATTACTCAAGTCTATCCCACCCTCCCCCCCATCACACTAGCCTGCGTGCCTCCGAACGTTTACTTGTTTACGACAGAAAATTCCGGATGCAGCGCAGGCTACCATCATACGTGGTATCATACTCGTTGGTTATCATTTTTCCCTGTGTTCCGAGGTTTCATAGTTCCTCGTGTTCTCCTTCCCTCCACAAAATCAACACTTTAATTCCAGTTCATTCGTAAAATGTGGGCCAGAGTTTTGTTTGAAAGGAGGACAACTTGAAAAAGAAATTTAGAAAATTGCTTAGGAATAGAAAGTTAGACTTCGATGATAAGCTGAAAAACTTTCCATGAACTCGTCCCTAAGGGAGTGCCAAATAATCATTACCCTCTCCTCCCTCCGGTAGAAATGTCTTTATGCAGGCTAGTACAGGCATGTGCCTTAGGAATGTGGTTTTGTCTAGGCTGGTGTTGATACTAATTCATTTGCTGTCAAAATATTTACTGTGATTAACCAAACATGGTTTGAATTTCGATGGTACGTCCAGGGTGCCATGTCAAAACTTGGTATCATTCCGTACCATGGAACGCCGCCAAGAATTTACGTTTTGCTGCATAAACCTTGGTACCTGAGTTCCTTTGATAGTATTTACTGTTAAAATTCTTGGATTCTAAAACCTTTGTCGATCCCTCTTCAGCTCTTTGTTCCTAAGGGTTCCATTGATGACGGTTACATCTAGCAACTAAAGGGGCTACCCGGGATAAATAAATGTGTTTTCTACCTATCTGTCCTTTAGAGACGTTTACATGGATCCCAATCTGTTCCAGCTATTCTACCCCATCCCCTCCTCCCCCTAAAAACGTTTTCCGTTTAGAAATCCCTGCTTCAGGACAATATGAATTTATAAAGCCCTGTTTACACAAGAGGTTTATTTTGGTTTGTTGCAAGCCGGGTTTTGAAAACTTTACGTCTGACGTAGATCAGATAGATGGAAGTCCTTTCATCTGTAAGAGTGGATCAAATTTCTCAGCAGCAGGAAGTTCTGGAAGTTTACCTAAGAGATGTTCTGGCATTATCGCCATCGTATTATCAGTATAAAGGAATTGATTTTGTGAAGTAAAACAAAAACAAAACAAAACAAAGCAACAGTGTTTCTTTGCTTTCTTCCTTCTTGATTCTTCTTCCCTTCTTAATTCATTTCATCATCAATCCATATATTCAGCCCTTTTTCTCTTCCTTTCTTTCCTTTCCTTTTTTTATTTAGTCGTAGAGGGAGACATATTAACTATGTATAATCCTTCCTTTTTTTTCTTAGTTTTTTTCTCCTTTCTCTTACTTTCAGTCTCTTAAAAATTCAAAACCGTCTACATTTAAGCGGTACAGCCAATAGTTTATACATGGGGATATAAACTGGCATGAAACTCAGTACAACCGTTAAAATATCCTGAGAAAGACACTAAGAAGACAAAGCGATACATCAATACGCCTGACTACTAGATCTTGATTGGTGGAAATATCCTATAGATGAACTCCACATGAAACATTAACAAGAATCAACGATAGGAAGAAGAAGAAGTTTAGCTAGAAAAACGTGGTGAGAATACGTGGCAGAAGGCTTGATTGAAATGGCAGCCGTTATTGATGTTTAGGGAAGAACTAAAGCAAGGCTTAATGAGCTCATTCAAAATACCTAAAATCATAATCATGTTTGGCTAATCTTAGAACGTTCGAGACAACCGAATAATAATAGTACTATTATTAATACAAAGGTTGAACGCGAAGGACAGCAGTATGGTCTATTCATTTCTAAATAAGCTGTGTAACTATGAAAAATGGGACAACTACGATGAGGAAGAACAAGAAAATCTTACACAGTCTTGTTCAGATGATGAAAACAATAGCGAAGAAGTGTCAGTAAGCATAGGAACTTCGAAGGTAGGTCATGCAATATTTATTACATTTGGGACAAGCAAGGATATAACTAAATCTCTAGCTGAACTTGTCTAGTGCGTAAAAGAAAGGTTTACTAATTCTACTAATTCCAAATCATATAGACTCGAAACTGGCGTGTCTTTTGGTATTTAAAAAAGTACTAAGCTTTACTCAGTGTAACTAAAGAAAATAGTCAGTAAATAAAAGTCCAGCAAGAGAACTAGTTCGTGTCAAATCCTTTTCAGAGCGAGTACCGTAAGCTAAAACCCCATGTGAAATAAGAATAAGGATTATTTCTTCTTCATGAGTGTAAAATTCTATTCTAAGCAAAAGATTGTAGGCTGAAATTGATAACTGGTTTTATCTAGTGAGAGACGGAATTTCATTCAAAATATTAATGATGATGTTTCGGGACTGATTCAAACAAACTTCTAGCGTCCGGCAAATTTTAATCGACCAGTGTTTGCCATTAGTAGCTCATCGAAACTGAATCTAGCTGTATTTCAGGCAAAATTTATTATACGTGAAGTACGTGTTAGAGTTTGTTTGTAGATATTTAGCTGAATCGCTTTGAATTCATGGTTCCGCTTCCCGTAGTTACCGTCACTATCATAGTTCATAGAAGGGAATCATTCCACTCTATGAATTATAATGTCACTATGTGTTTCACAAGCTCAAGAGGTTAACTAGAATAGTGTCAGAATCTAAAACTCTGGAAGCAGAAAATTGATTATAAATCGTTTCTATTGTTTATTGTGCTTTGAAACTATAAAAGAAAATTGCCTCGAAATCCTTGTAGAATTCTTCAAAACTGAATAGATAATGTGTACAGTCGTTTGTAGTACAAGATTTTAATTCGGGTTCAGGTATCTAAGCTTTAAGTCCAGTGTACTGTATAAAACGACCAGTAAAGTCGCTTCTATATAGCAAATAGATAAATCATGGGAATGCCCGTTTAGCACAGGTTTCTAAGTTAAAAGAAAATCAGGCTTTAACCTGTCTCTTAGTGTGGTATAAATAAACCTGTATAAAGCGACCAGCAAAGTTCCATAGCAACAATTATGGTAATACCCGTTTAGCACAGGTTTCTAAGTTTAAAGAAAATCAGGCTTCAACCTGGTGTGGTATAAATAAACCTGTACAAAGCGACCAGCGAAGTTCCATAGCAACAAATATGATAATACCCGTTTAGCACAGGTGTTAAAATTTGAAGAAAATTAGGCTTGAAATCCTCAGTTGATTGAACCCCGCTGAGTGGGGTGTAAACAACCTTGCGTATGTCGTACGACGACAAGTAATGCATCTTACACCTTTGTCAGCGAGTGCTTACAAATTGATTGGAAAGTCTTTAATCAACACACCCACTATAAAGCCCAGCTCGAGCACAAGCTGCGGCTTACTAATTAACAGAAATTCAAAAAGAAACGATTCAAATTCCTCTAGAGAAAAGATGTGATTTACTCTTGTACTTTCAACAACTTTAGCAGTTTCTGGAAGAACTATTTTTACGATAATCTGGGAAATAAAAAATTCTTCAAGGACAATACTTGTAGCAGATCACAGGTCCCGCCTAATTCAAGCAATTTAAGTGTGCATTGTGTTATTAATACTTTATGTTGACAATCCAAATTGTTTGTAGTTTTTCTCCATGTTGCAATTACTCCGTAAATGACTTCGTCCGTCTAGCTCCCACGAGATTCAACCCGCGCAAATTAGCAAATAATCGAATGAAATCTAACAGCACCTCGCTTATTATTTTGTGTAAAGAAAGTGAAATACATGGGGTTGCAGATAACAGAGATTAAGGCTTACGATAAATACCTCGGCAAAAATATTTGAAATATTTTATTAGATGAACAGGTGATTTATAGCTCAAGTAAGACACTATTTGTTTGGCGTTCATTAGTTGGACTCAAACCTCAGTTGTTGTTCTTAGATTGTTATGATTCTATACTAAGGGATTAAAAATAGAAAACAAGTGGAAATAACTTTCGGTTCCCTTGCAAGCTGCTGGCAAGATATCTTGAGTATTCCAACGGAGTAACTTCTTAGTTCAAAGATTGTTTTTTTTCTCTTTAGGAGAGCAAAGCAGGAACGATGAATTGCAAGCTGCGACCAACGCCGAATGGAAGAATCTATTTCTTTCGACCATCTCTCTTGAATTTCATATTTCTTCTGATTTTCATATTTCTGGTATACCATTGGATTTTCTCCAAGCTCGACAAAATTCACAACCTTCGTAGGACGCCGATAGAGGATGCATTCAATCGTAGAATCTCGCTCTTCATGTCATATCAGGGCAGGAATTTAAACTTCACAGTGTTCAAGAGACGCGCTCTCGAAGGACGAGTTGGGGATTTCTCTTGTTCTTCGTCAATACATCCAAGCAAGTGCGCCTTTCATGTGGACAATCTCATTCAAGCCATACAAATATGTAAGGTCTATGATGATGTTTGTAAAGGGTTTGTTTTAACGGAGGAAAAAGGAGGTTTGGTGATTTATCTGAAACACGATGTTGCGAGAGTGCATAAAAGTAATGACTCTGCACTTTTCGTCAGGACATGCTTTGTGCCAAAAGAGGGATTTGAATTGATGACTAACTTGGATCTGACCTAACCTGCTTTATCATTAAAGCTTGGTCAGGGAGAAGTCGACTAAAGATCTTCGTGCACTTATTAGTGAAATTTGTTGGAAACATAATGACAGATGAGGAATGGTTTGGACACAAAGACTAAAAAGGCAGCACAGGAAGGAAGGAAGGAAGGAAGGAAGGAAGGCGGAACGAATGAACAAGTAAGGAAAGGAAAAGAATGGCAAAGCAAGGCAAGGCAAGGGAAAGAATGGATGATAAGGAAAGGAAAGAAAAGGAAAAAAGGACAGTATAGGAACATTAGCATCGATAAAATCAAAAATTGACATCCATACAATTTTTGGAACTTTGTTGAGAACATTTTGAAAGACACGGACTGGATTGGATCATTTTTAATAAAGTACAGATTGCAAACTGCAATAAACTTAACTTCAAGACCTATTTGTTACCTAAATTGATAGAGAAAGATAAACAGAGTTGGAAAGCTCACTACAGTAATTGTTTGCATTGCTGCCGAAGAGATGTTTCAACATTATAAGTCGTCGTAATGATTTGACCATATTTGGGCCAATCATCGCCTGGTTTTGTATAATTTATTTTTAAGATATCTTTTGATAAGCTAATTTAATTAATTTACACTACATTTCTACTAGTTATACACGTTTAATATAAAAGGTTTTTCCAATAGCATTCAGCTCTTGCTCCTGTTGTATTCTCTCTTCTTCAAATAGTTTTTTTAACATTGCCCTACGAACCTAAGAGAGAAAGAAAACACTGAGTTGTTTAAAACTTTTACAAAAGGTGTAAATTATTCGTAGTAGAGTGCACGCACTAAAACCGTGAACATTAAATAGTACTAATTAGTACTATTTCATACAGAATCCTTTGTTTTCTATTGTTTAATTAGATCACTACTTAGTGCTAAAAATTAGTATTTGTTTCACGGATTTAGTGTGAGCACTCTATTCTCCGGAATCACTTACTAACTTACTGAACTTACTAACATTTCTAGGAACGTGGTTAGTCTTGGGGAAGTAAGTGTTGCGTGACGACACTAATAGCAGCTGAGTAGGAGACTAGAACGTATCGTAACTTATTTTCTTCCTAGCAATAAATATGTTTGGTAATGAATCCATGCGTTTGTACCACACATGAAGATACTAGAACGTATCGTAACTTATTTTCTTCCTAGCAATAAATATGTTTTGTAATGAATCCATGCGTTTGTACCACACATGAAGTACCATACTCAAAGGCCTTGCAATTAAGTCTGAATTTTAAGATATCGAAACACCTGTTCTATTAACGGGTGCTTGGGGTCCAACAAAAAGCTTGATTTTCTTTTGTGAAGTCACAAACATACATCCTAGACCAGGTGTCTTGGTTCTGCGCCGTCGGGGAATAGTAGCCAATCAAAAAGGCACAATTATCAAAATTACTTTCTGATGAATATATGATATTTCGAGTTTATCGCTTTGACAGATTAGCGATTAGCGACAGCTTTTGCGGGAAGTGAAAACAAGCGTGAAACTATAAGAGAGAACTGGGGTGGATGTGACGTAATTACCGCCATGTTGGATGACTTGAACAAAATCATTTGATTTGCTATGTCAACCAACATGGCAGCCACAATCTTTGCTATTAATAATGGGATTAACAGTGGATTCCACAGAGTGGCTCTTCTTCCAATGGTTTCCAATTGGAATTTAGAAGTTGATTTTTGTGGAGGGAGGAAAGCCTGAGAACCTGAAAAACCCTCGAAGCACAGGAGAGAACCAAAAAGCAACTTCTATCGCCCTTTAGCGGTAACCAATTTGCTGAGTTTATATTCTGAATGTTTGATTTGAAATTTTTTTTTGAGGACACAAAGAAGAACGCTGGAACTGTTTTAAACTTGGTTACTGACGGGTAATGCGAAAAGCAAGGCTTAAGTTTACCTAAACGAAAGGAAGGGATTCCCCTTTTCACATAGCGATAGTGCCGGAAATGACGCCAAAATGCAAAGAAACCATTTCTTGACTGCGCGCCCAACTGTCCTTACCACGTGACAAGTTTACACCGGTTTTGAAACATTCTAAACCAGCATCCCATTTATTTTCAAAGTGGAAAGAATAGCTAAAATGCATAGATTTTCAGTGAATGACAAATAAAACTTACCAGAACTAGTTCTTTATTTCTACATTTCATCTCTTCGTTTACCAATTTTGATTCGTTCTTTGTTCGACGTTTTTCACTTTTCTGTCAACAAAAGAATACATAACTCAAATGTGCAAAAAAAAAAAAAAAAAAAAAAAAAAAAAAAAAAAAAAAAAAAAAAAAAAAAAAAAATCTTCAAATTTCATCGATACAGCGAAACAACATCTTAGCCGAACGAAGTTAGGGCGCGGCAAGCTCACAAATCGAATTGGCATTTCTATCTTGTTAGGTTTTGCGGAGATGGAAAAACCAGTGAGAAACTGGAGAAAAACTCTGGAATCTAGGGTGAGACTTGAAAATAACAAACTCTACTCACTCACGCGACTCATGTACCGCCGGCCGAGTCTGGGAAGTGATAGAACCCGCAACCCCAGAGGTACGTGTACTACCACTAAGCCACCCTTGATTCCCGACATTACCGACAGCTCAGGCTCAGGACAAACGTTGAACTGGTTTCACATAAGCCGAACATGTTTGAAGCAATAGTTAACAAGGCGGTCTTCTTTGATGTCATTAGGTTCGGCTCATGTGAAGTTCGACGTTTGACTAAAAATGATTTGAACCCCAGTTTGTCCAGAAACAGCTTAGGCAAGGGTTTAATGAAAAGTCCTGTCATTTGCAGTCCCCGGGGCTGCTTCCGCCACTAAGTAGACTGATGATATTCTTTTTCTTACTTACTTCGTCTAAAGTGGACAGCCAAATAGATCTTTCAAATTCTTTAGCCATCCTGCGATAAAATAGCAACATTACATCATTTTTATACAAAGATGCTTACAAAAGTCTAAGCTATCCTACATGAATTTACTTACAAGTTTTCTTCACTTACTCTTGAAGCAATCAACTCATCCATCTGCAAAAATTAAAAACTGTGGTTATCATTGCAAATAGTAAATAGAGATGCTTTAAATTGGTTTTCAAGTATGGCGTAATTTTCAGAACCAATTTTCAACCTAAGCTTGAAAACACAGCAAATTTGAAACAGCAAAAATCTTACTTTAGATGAAAAGGAAAACCAACTTAAATTTGAAGGCTGAGAACATGAATAATTTTCTAACACTTCAACAGTATGAATAAAATCAATATATAATATGAATAAAGTAACTAGTCTGGACGTAAAAGACAGCTAAGCAAGAAAAACATTGTTACTTTGAACTTCTGTTCCTGTTCGAGTTAAACAACCACCATTTTTTGGACTTAACTTCTCTCTTAAACTTAGAAAAACAAACTGAAATAATTGTAGAGTAAACAAACTAACCACTCACCTGTATTCTTGCGTTTTGGTCTGTCAAAGCCTTTCGTACCATCTTAGTATTCGGGTTGACTACTTCATATCTGTAACTCGTCGTCATCAAACGTTCTGCCATCTTTATCAACGATGAAAAAAGTTTCAAAAAATCCTAGAACTCTTTCGAAGTGTTTGCTTGTCTTAACGTTTTATCGTTTAGGAAAATTTAAGGCTTTGAGAGAGAGCCTCATTAATAAGTTAATAAACTTCTGTAGTTACCATGGGAACGATAAACAATGTCATGGTAATAGGCAGACAACAATAGCGAGAGTAATTATATCAAGCGATGTATTGTTGGTTGGCAAACAATGAGGATTTGACAGTGTAGTTGTAATTGGTTATCTTGTTTGTTCTAATACCAAAACACACAAACCCAGCATTGAGTGAAATTACTGCAATAGTCTGGAGACAGTTGTAGCTGGCTTTACAAAAACCCCCTTGTTTAGAGAGAACATTTGGTTAAAAAATAACATATTTTTTAATGAATAGCCTTCTTATAATTACAATTTGACTTCTACCAGAGTCTGTAGCGGATTATACAGTTTCGAACATTCATTCTAAAATACAGTCATGTCTTTTTGCTCGTTTTACGATTCACAGCACACTTTTTCGTAGGGATCAAATGTCACTTGTTTTTCGGTAATACGTTCATGTTCTATATACGCCAAACTGCCAATTCGGACTATATATTTTTCTTGTATTTATGTGATTTGGCATCATTTGCTGTCATT